CAATCATACACGCGCCGACAATACATAGAAGACGCTTTATGAAGCTTGCCGCTAGACAAAAGTTTATTCATATGCAAACAAAAACAAATATATCAATGAGTAGTTAGACAATCGATCAGCAGGAGGATATGCTTAAGTGACAGAATGATAAACATATACTCTTCGTAGGTATTGACTTTTGCATTTTCTGCTATCTGGATAAATGTTCTAAACTAATTAGACTAGGATAAACACCATTGTTTCTTTTTATTTGTTTTAATTGATTATCTCTCATGCATTATCTAACTCGAATGTATTTATATAAGATTACTATACACAAATCATTCTACAAAGTATTATTTTACCAGTGGATATTCTGCATGATAGTAATATGTTCGAGCACTAAAAAGTATTGGTAGAGCTACTTTTGTTTCTTATATAATCAGACTTGAGCGAGTCGATGTGATTGTGATCTGTTGTTCTATTATCTCTCAAAGAAAAAATCAACATTTACGTTGACAATGAAAGATAAAACTTGAGAAATAACTTGGAATCTATGATTTTTCTAAAACATTTCTAAATTTTTCATAAACATAGTTTTGACTTTGACATAAATTTTTATGATGAACACATACTACAGAATTTCATCAATACTTAGTCCTCTTTTTCCTTTATAATTAGATAGAGCATCACCATTTACAGAAGAAGAAAACTAGTGTTAACAGAAAATATGAATTATGAATACGTTGAAACTCGATATACTTCATTCAATGCATATATTTAATCAATTGGTTTGAAAATAATAGTATTTATTTGACATAATATTGGTTTTACCTCTTATAGTTTCCAACAACGAAGTTTTTAGTTCAAGTTCTACTATGACTACATTGTCATTCATAACTATAAAATCTTTGTAAAAGTATATTATAAATTAATTTGAACGCTTTTCTCATTTGAAAACATGATTAAGCTATATGAGACGATGTTTTTCCTTTTTTCATTTCTTAATTCCTCAAAAAAAGTGAACGAAAAGAAATTAATTGTCATCTAAACGGAGGAAAAATAATCGGTTTACTATCTAACTTAAAAATAAATAGCTTATGATCTTCACTAGAAAACTTGTAAGTAAGTGTAGGTACGAGTGTAATTGCAGGTGTGGAGATCATTCGAGATGAGATTAGACAATTTCACAATCGTCTACAACACATCTATTACAGTAACTAAATTTAAAAGGAACAAATAAATGAACGATTATTTTAAATAGTCTTCGAACTCTATATTTCAATAGAGTTTATTTTATTTAATATGATCATCAATAAAATATGATCAATTATTCGAGTACGTAGAAGGAATCATAACAAACATACGCAATCTATCCATATGTGCCGAGCATTATTGGGAGAAATTTTTCAAATTGTTTAGTAACTGGTCAAATTTTCAAAGGTTTAACAGAAACATTTGAGAAAAGTTTTCAAAATAATTCTTGATTTACTTCTATATATATATATATGCTAATAAAGCCATCTAATGATCATCTTTTTTGTTCTTATTAAAATTTAAAAAAAAATTCATTGTCTATTTTCAAAAATGTGATCTATATGGCTTTTCTTAAAATGAAAATAACTGTTTTATGATTATTTAATTATGCATGTAAAACAGTCGATCAATACTCTTCACAAATTAGTTAATTACGTTACTTTTTTTGTATATATGAAGTTGCTACTTATTCAATTAGTAGTATTGATTGAATGTTCTTTTTTCTTTGTCTATGTTCTGAAAAAATCAGTTTGAGTACAACTTGAACCTACTTTACTATAAGAATAAATGATTAATTTTAATAAGATTTTATTCAAGTGAATAAAATGTATCATAATTTTATTGTAAATGAAACGGTCGAAAGATAAAACGAAAATCCATTTAAAAAATGTCTTTCTAGCAAAAGATTGTTGAAGACTTCGGAAAACAACTCGACCAAATAGTATCTTCCAAATTAAGTAACTGGAGAATCCATTAAAACTCTCAATGATAATGTTAAGATTCTCCGATAAAATTCAATTCTTTTTATCCCTTTTTGTTCATCAGATAAGTGGTGAGTCAAAAACTGAAAAAAAATACAGAATCATAGAGAATTTCACATGCTTTTAGAATATAGACTTACTTTTGTTATAAATTATTTCTATATTTAAAAGTAATTTAAAAAAAGAAATGAAGAAAACCAAGATAAAAATAGAATAGAAAATTGAAAAGGAGAAAACGACAAAAATGCAATTCTCGCATAATCAGATCATGACTATTTCTTTATAGTTCTTTCACTTACTTTTAATAGACAAACACAATTTCAGCCGAATATATATATATAGTTGTAGACAACTTCATGCATTATTCAAATAAATACCGATGTGGTGGAGATCGCTCAAAGATCGACGATACTACTGCCAAATATTAGAGTGATTAATCGTGAGATTATATCACTATAAAAACACCGAAACTAGTAACTTTTACGAATCCTTTGTGAAAAATCGGATTTATTCTAATAATATTTTCAATGGTCGAATCTGTTTATAAAATAGAATTTGGCATTATGACTATCCAAGAGAAAAATTTTTCAAACAAAATTTGAAATAAAAACCTGAGGGTGTGAGTGTGAGTATGTGTTTTAGTGAATAGCATCTACATCCGCATCCTTTCGAGAAAGTCGCAAATTTTCACAATTTCGTCAGAAAATCGATGGAAAGCTAAGTATGACTTAAGTGACGGAGCTGATAGACTAGATAAGGCTTGCGCGTCATCTGATTTTGGTCTTTGTAGATTCAGCCCCCGATCAAATCATGAATTGAAGACTTGACCGCTTGCAACTTCAAGTTGGTTTATAATGCGAACCTTCTTTTATTGGGGATATTGAAACCTGTGACAGTTTTATTTACACGCATTAAAGAAGAAAATAAAATCTTTAGCAGGAATGACTTCACTAATTGCATCATCACGATTCATAACAAAACCTTTTATTTATATAGAATGGTGTATAAACTAAGCCAAATAGTAGAATTATGTAATAACACGCACAAAAAAACTAGATATATAAGAGATCAGCTTCTCGTTTCTGAAAATAATCACTTCATTCATTTTATGTAGCGCAGTACAGACTTAGAAAGTACCATAAAAGTTCAGCAAAAAAAGTCTAAGTATAGCAATTTCTTTTTATGCTTATATGAATATTATTCCATCGAGTTTTCTCGCTCTATTTATTTTAATAACCTTACTACTACAGTATGAAAATAACTAATGTTTCCGCTGATCAAAATCCACACAGAACTAAAAATATTTTTTCATCCCTTGATTCTTTATAAAAGCCTCATTTTGTGTTCAAGTAATCTGCTATAATGCTTAGATATATTTAGGATTATGTGCAAAATTTCAGAATTATAAGTTTTGCACTTTGCTGTAGCCTATCTTTTCTTTTACACTAATAACTTTCTATCCTCTAAACGCTACATAGTGGATGGCTCATAATAAATTGTTGAAGTGTGTATTTCATGTTTTGCCTCCTGAAAACGTTTTATTAAAAAAAATACAATATATCGACAGATACAGCGTGAACAGCTCCACAAACTACAATGTAAAGCTAATGTTTATTGTGTACTTTTTATTTCATTTGCAGTAAGTACTTTACAGCGATCAATTTTTGACGTTGCGAAAAGTACTCTTGAAAATTCTGCTTCTTTTTGAGAATGAAAAGTATTCGATTAAAACAAACTGTTCTTTGTAAATTGTAGAACTTTTCATGCTGTATCTTGTGATGTATTTTGTTTTATTTTTAAACACATCAAGTGATAAATAAGAAAAAGACCCGTTTGTCACATACTAAAAAAAGACTTCTTTTGCAGCGTCGAACTTGATCGTTCAGAATTTAGTCGATTCTCAAAAGAAAGCATACAACTGTAAGCATAGCTTTCCTGTGTAAATTGTTAACCTTTTCACGCTGTAGCTGGTGGTATTTATTGCTTTCTGTTTAATAGATAATATGAAGTAAAAGAAGGAGAAGATAAGAAAAAGATGACTTGTCTTTTATCAAAAATATATTATTCTTGTAGCATCGAAATTATATCGCTAAAAACTTTCTCAGTTTTGAACCCAAAAAATAGAATTATCAAATTAGCTATCCTACACAAACTGTAAAGCTTTTCAAGCTGCATCTTTCGCTGTGCTTTATTGTTTAAATAAAACATCTCTAGGGATCAAAATAAGAAATTCAAACTTTTGTTATTTACTATGGGTCATAAGCTAGCAAGTCGCGTGCATCTACGGTAAAGAAAATGATGTAATACAGCAAAGAACAAGACTTATAAGTCTGAAATTTTGCACATAATCCTAAATATGTGAAAGCATTATGACAGAACCGTTATCGTCATTTTGAGATGCTTAGAAAAGAGAAGCGCAAAATTTGTTGTAGTATCGCATGCGCATGAATATTGGCAAATAAATATTTAAAGAATTTCACAAATTAATTTGACTTTACTCAACTATACTGGTTACTATAGCGACTAATGAAAGAGCTTACATTAAAATGAGAGAAAAGCATAATTTGCACTGCTATGACTCAATCATGACAGATTCATTGTTTATTGGCACATATTTACAAAAAAAACTTGATGAAATAAATCGCAAGCAGGGTATGGGTGTGAGTCTGCCTGAGGATGATGTAGGTGGGTGTGGATGTAGTTGTCGTTATTGTTGTTTCTTTGCATATTAGTGTTTGTAAGACTCACACCCACACCCACACCCCAAATATATGATGAAAAAATATATAAATATGTGTTGTAGACTATGCTCTTTTTAATTGTAAAAAATAACATGTTTAGACTACTTGTAAGCAGTATCAGAATGAAAATAAAATTAATACAGAAGTTCTGCACCACCCGTCACTTGAATTTCTTTCGAATCATATTTTAGCTTTGGGCATTCTCATGGGATTCCTCACTGCAAGCAACATGAAAGTTTCTGTATTATATCCGATTATGTTGATGTTGATGCTTTTCGTTAGCCAACATGATGCTAAGACTATCAAGACAAAGGTTGTAGTACTTGGCGGAGGTATGGCTGGTGTGATTGCTGCTCGTGCATTATATGAAAATGGTGTTAAAGATTTTGTTCTGGTCGAAGCGGAAAGCGATTTAGGCGGACGAATGAAACATACAAAATTTGCCGGCTATACTGTTGAATTAGAAGCAAACTGGATTCAGGGAACGATGAATACAGCAACATATAAAGAAAATCCAATATGGACGCTGACCAAAAAATACAATTTATTGAACGTAGCTAGTAATTTGGATGATTTATCAACATACGACCAAAATGGATATACTGACTATAGAGATGTTCAAAAACGATATGATGACATATTCACAAAAGTTCTTGCAGATGCTGGAACCAGATTGAAAAGGACTCTCGTTGATCTGTCATTCGATGAAGGACAATGCTTGGCTGGATGGAAAGCTCAAACACCACAAGAAAAAGTAGCTGAGTTGTTCACCTTTGACTTTGAATATGCCGACACTCCCGCTGCCTCGAGCATGATCGAAGCAACAGTTAATTACAATGAAACTTATATACAATGGAATGAAGACGATTTATTCTGTATTGATCAACAAGGCTTCAATATATTGGTACGAAACGAAGCCAAAACGTTTTCTACGAATGACAACATCATGTACAATAGCATCGTTAAAAAGTCAGCTATTGTGACGAATCAGTTGTAATTCTACTCAAAGACAATACAGTGATTACAGCAGAATATGCGATTTGTACTTTTTCTCTTGATGTACTTCAAAACCAGGATGTTGAATTCGTTCCACCATTCCCACCATGGAAGCAAGAAGCCATTTCTTCATTCAAAATGGCTAATTTTACGAAAATTCTTCTCAAAGGATGAGGGCGGATAAGGCCATTTTCTCGCCCCCAAAATAATTCGGTTTTTTATATTAAAATCAAGTCAACAACGACTCCTGATGATACTGCACAGGTTTATTTTGGAACATCTTTCCATCGATTTTTCGACCCATACCTGT